GATGACAGAAATGTTAGGGTTAACAAGCAAGGACTTTAAAATAGTTTTTATAAATATGTTTAAGGATTTAAAAGAAAATAAAGACTCAACTGAATAGAGGAAAAGTCTCACGAGAGAAATGGAAACTATAAAAGATAACTAGAAATTCTAGAACTGAAAGTTATCTGAAATGAAAAAATATCTCTAGATGAGCTTAACAGTACATTGCATTCTAGAGACAGAAAAAAATTGTGAACTTAAAGACAGCAATATAAATTATCCAAACTGAAGCACATATAGAGAAAAAAAACTAGAAATGAGCAGAGTCTCATTGACTTGTAGGGTAATATGAGGTGGCCTAACATCTATGAAACTGGAGTCTCAGAAGGAGAGGAGAGGGTGACTGGGATAAAACATAGATAGATAGATAGATAGATAGATAGATAGATAGATAAAACATAGATAGATAGATAGATAGACAGATATAGATATAGATAGATATAGATACATATATCTATATAGATATATATATATCAAGAAAAAGCTGGAAAAAAATCCAAATTTGATGAAAAATATTAACCCGTGAGTTTTATAAGCTCAATGAGCTATAAGGAGGATAGAAATAAAGAAAACCCCTTCTAGGTACATCATGGTCAAATATCTAAAACCAAGGACCAAAGAGAAACATCTTAATAGCAGCCAGAGCGGGGGAAAAACTCCTTCTGCCCAAGAAGGGGAACAGCATCTGACTTTTCCACAAGCCAGAAGACAATGCAATAACATCTTTAAAGTGCTGAAAGGAGGGGTGCCTGGGTGGCGCAGTCGGTTGAGCGTCCGACTTCAGCCAGGTCACGATCTCGCGGTCTGTGAGTTCGAGCCCCGCGTCGGGCTCTGGGCTGATGGCTCAGAGCCTGGAGCCTGTTTCCGATTCTGTGTCTCCCTCTCTCTCTGCCCCTCCCCCGTTCATGCTCTGTCTCTCTCTGTCCCAAAAATAAATAAACGTTGAAAAAAAAAATTTTTTTAAAGTGCTGAAAGGAATAAAATCTGTTAACCTGGAATTAGAAACCTAGTGAAAAGATCCTTGAAAAATGAATGGAATAATAACAGTGAGAGCAAGAGCAAGAAAGAAAACAAAAGGAAGTAAAGGGAAAGAAGGAGGGAGGAAGAAAGAACGAATGAAAAAGAAAAACATTGCCAAATAAAAGCTGAGGGAATTTGTCAACAGTAGACATGTACTTTAAGAAATGTTAATGTCTTCAGGGTGAAGGAAGTGATACCAGATGGAAACTCAGATCAACATGGAAAATGAAGAGTGTTGGAAATAGTAAATATGTGGATCAATAGAAATTTCTTTTTTCCTTGCCTATTATTGGAATGAGTGTCACTCTTAATTATACAGCTAAGTTCTTAGTGGACATTGCAGTTGTCTGGGAGTCAGGACATCTAGGGCCTGGTTCATTTCTATGACCTTAAGTAAGTTGCTTAATCTCTTACCTTGCTTGGATCATGAATCAAGTAGAATTCTAATACCTGATATTTTTCTCTTTTTGGTAAGCATGCAATAAATAATTCCTTTTATCGCTGCGAAACACCTCCGAAGGGCTATCTACCCATTGCTTCTCAAATTTAGTGTGCATATGAATTACCTGGGAATCTTATTAAATTCAACTACAATTGATAAACTCATTGTGGTATTGGTAAAAGGACAAATAGGTCAATGCTATAGAATAGAAATACATTCTTTTTTCCCCTTTTACTTCTAACCTGTTATTCTTTATACTTATACCTTATACTTAAAGCTTTTCTTTTACAAACTGTACATCTCTATATAAACAGAGATGTTTATATACATCTGTCTTATAAACTCATTTTTGTCTTTTTATTCACTTTTATAATCTCTGCCTTTTTTTTTAAATTTTTTAACGTTTTTTTAATGTATTTTTGAGACAGAGAGAGAGCATGAACGGGGAAAGGGCAGAGAGAGAGGGAGACACAGAATGGGAAGCAGGCTCCAGGCTCTGAGCCATCAGCCCAGAGCCCGACGCGGGGCTCGAACTCACGGACCGCGAGATCGTGACCTGAGCCGAAGTCGGACGCCCAACCGACTGAGCCACGCAGGCGCCCCTATAATCCCTGCCTTTTAATTGGAGTGGTTAGTCTAATTATATTTAATATCATTGTGGATGTTGAGCTTGTATCTGCCATCTTGCTATTTGCCCCCTTCCATCTGTTTGTTTTGTCCCATCTGTTTTTATATTCCTTTGTTTCCTCCTTCCTCCTTTTGGATTTGCTGAGAATTTTTAAGTATTCTACTTTATCTCCTCTATTGGCCTAAAAGCTGTACGTCTTTGTTTTATTTTTTGGTGGCTGATCCTTAACAGAGTCTACTATGATTTCACATTATATCACTACACACGTAGTATAACAAACTCATGAAAGAATACTTCTTGTTCCCCAGCTTGTCCTTTGCACTATTGTTACATGTCATACTCCTTCATATGTGAAAGCCCCACAGTTGTTACTGTTTTTGATTTACATAGTCAATCATCTTTTAAAGAAATTAAATAATGTCAATATTAGAGCAGTCCTGGGAAACCTTCTAAGTTTGCTCTCTGCTTGCTGTATTTTCCAAATGTGGTGTATAAAGTCCTCTACAGCCCCTACCCGCTGGGTTCAGGTGAAGCAACCCTTCAGTGAAGTCACCTCTGCTGACTTCTGAGGGTCTGTTCCTCAGAATCTCTTCAATATTCACAGTAGGAAAAGAGGACAGCAGGGTGCTTAAGAGGAGGGTGAATACTGACCAGGAGATGGAGAGGATAAAACCCCATTAAGTCTGTATCTTAAAATCTCATTAATCTTCACTTTTTATGAAGTATAATTCGAAGAGATATATTTCTTTTCAGAAAGCAAGTTGTGAGGCACTTGGGGGTTAGTTAGTTCACCCAGCGGGGGGGATGCTGACAATCATACTTGAATTGTCAGTAATTCCAGAAAGCAAAATTCAGGTACTAAAGAGTGAGTGGGTAATTGAAGTCCCTGGGCAAAGAAAGATCTTTGCTTCTTCCCAAGGTCATTTGGTATGGGAGTAAGAGGGTTTGAAGAAAATGTGTCATTGATGATTTAATAATATTTGACATGAGAGATTACATTTCTCTCATTTCATTTTTCTTACATAGAAAACCCAGACTGCCTTAAACCTGCTAGTGATATATGTGGGTTAAAATTGCATTGAACAACATTGCGTACACTTTCTAATCACCTCAGCGTTTTTGAGTACTGTGTATCTCCATTAAAATATATATTTACATTATGCTTTAGATTTATATCTCCTTTTGACACTCTCATGTTTTGTAAGAATAGGAATCTTGTCTAAGGCTTCTCTTTAATGGGAATAGAAACCTTGCTAACATCTGAATCATGCTGAGCATAAAAAAGAAAAGTGGGGCCATCTCCACCCTCAGTCCCCTTTCCTGGCATAGAATGACAGAGTATTGATGTAAAAAGGACTGCTTTTTTTTTTAATATTCAAAGTGTTACTAAGTGCCGTGGTCCTTCATCTTTGGAAATATTGTGGCTTTCAGGGTCACTGGCTGTGTGTCATATTCCAGCAGAAAGCACAATGCATCAGCTGTGGATTTTCTTTGTATTCTCAGTGTTGTTCGTGGCTGTTTCTTTACATAATGGGCTGTATGACACCCTTCATTTTAAAAAAGCCCTTATGTTTATGATTACTGTGTCAAGTTATTGGGTCTGTGGCTGGCCTTGCACAGTCACCGGCTTGAGCTCACAGGAAAGTGGGCATAGTTGTCAGTGCCATGGTGCTGTTCTGTTAGGTTAAATAAAATGTAGAAACTGGTGGTATCCAAAAAACTTCTGGTAAAAGCATTATCTTGGCAGCAGGGAGCTCCTGGGTGGCTCAGTCAGTTGAGCATCCAGCTCTTGATTTCGGCTCAGGTCACGATCTCCTGGTTTGTGGGATGGAACCCTGCATCGGGCTGACAGCATGGAGCTGCCTTGGGATTCTCTCTCTCCTTCTTTCTCTGCCCCTCCCCCCTCTCAAAATACACAAACATTAAAACAAATTTTCTTATTTGAATTAATGAAGAAGGAAATATATGCTGTGAATAATGACTGTTAAATAGCCTTGGTTTTTCTGTAAGGAATGTCCTCAGTGTTAGCACCTGCAGTAGGATAGCATGTGTCATATTGGTTTTATAATATTAGTATTTGTACAGAATGATGGCAGGAAGACAAAGTGGGTTTTATTCCTTACCGGTTATTATTGGCTGATGATACTCCTGTGAAGGCTTATGGTATTAGGTGAAACCATGTGAAATCATTGTTTATGTAGGCAATTTTATATGGCTCTAGGAAATAAGAAGTATTTTAATTAGTTTTCTCCATATCATTGTGAGTCTGCCGCAAATATTTTAAACGAATACATATATTTAAACTTGAAGGCAAGATTTCTTTGTTCTCACTCTTGCTGTGTTTTTACTCTTTGTCAGTGCCTTCTTGCTCTCCAGGAAATGGAGACTCTGTATACAGAAAATCTGACATTTGCCATTCTGTAGCCCTCTTGAGAGGTAAACAAGTAAAAATACGAATATTACTTACTCAGTTGTGGGTTAAAGCCATCTTCAGATCCTTCTAACAATAATTTAAACTTCTGGCAGTGGGGCGCCTGGGTGGCGCAGTCGGTCAAGCGTCCGACTTCAGCCAGGTCACGATCTCGCAGTCCGTGAGTTCAAGCCCCGCGTCAGGCTCTGGGCTGATGGCTCGGAGACTGGAGCCTGTTTCTGATTCTGTGTCTCCCTCTCTCTCTGCCCCTCCCCCATTCATGCTCTGTCTCTCTCTGTCCCAAAAATAAATAAAAAACGTTGAGAAAAAAAATTTAAACTTCTGGCAGTTCCTTTATGAATTCTTTTTTCTGCAGAAAAGACAATTTCGTCACAGGAATATATTACAAGTATTAAGATATCTTTCCCCTCCCCCCTGCTCCCATATTTCTCCATTTTCAGTTTCACCTATACAAAACAGGAGCTCTGGTAGCCTCTACTGAGACTTTTCGGTAGAAAATGCTTTGAAAAAGAAAAGAAAAGAAAAGAGAGAAGCAGCTATTTTCAAGACTGACTTTCTAAAATTATATTTAGGTAAGCTGAATTTTCGATGTCATCCCTTATAGCCGAAAGTACACACATTTGATTTAATCATGTTAATCAAAATGTATTTGCGTTCAAGTGCTCTTATATATCAGTGCTTCTGGATGGATGTAAATTATATTGACAGAAAACATCCATTTCCTCACGTTTTCAAATACCAAGCAGGTTTCAGAACCTTGGTCTACAGCATGGTTGTTTTGGGGGAAAAAAAAATGTAATTCGGCCAAAGCTGATCTTGTTTTTCCTTTATTCTTTAAGCCAGAAGCAATTACTTTTCATTTCAGGATTAAGCGGCTGTAACATTGCCATTCGTCGCCGAGGCTCCTGGTTTCAGCACGTCTCCTTGGTTCCCAGCCAGTCCTGGGTGTTCAGGTAGCAGCTGTGGCTGGGAGTGCCTCTCCAGCCCGCATTCCTTGGCTATGAATTCTGCAGCCCTGTTTATCTGATGAAGACCTCCCCAAAGCGAGTTGCTCATGACACTGTCACACAGACCTTAATGGATGATATGGAAAGATACTGAATTTTTTTCCTCCAGGAATGCCAGCCAGTCCTGAATGCCAACCAGTCCCTTCACTTTGGCTGATCACTGCAGAGGCCTGGTGCTGAGGTCTGATGAGACCTGTTCCACATAAACCAAATTCTAACAGGATGCCTGCAAGTCCTCTCTATGAGGCTGTCACGCAAGCCTGTTCAGAGACTTTTCGGCAATTACGCTTGCTCAGACATTGATTCTCACTTCTCTGCACTAATTATTTACTTCAATTTTTACTTTCAATCTATAAATGTTAGCACTGTCAGCACTCACAGACCTGTCTTCTTTCTCTTGAAACCATGGCTTGACTTGGGATAGCTTGGGATGCTTTAGAGCATGGCTTTCTCACTATGTCATGTGTCTTCATTTTGCTTTCCCAAACCAGACTGTAAACTCCCTGAGAGAGGAGACTCTGAAAAGTGGTAATATCTTATATAGACAGATACACAACAAATAACAAGAACAACATTTGGACAAAAAGACTGTTGTTGCTCTTAGTAGTGGAGAAAATTTGCCTTAACACGTTCAGAAGACTCTCGATCGGCTGCTACAACATATGTCTCTTCTTTCCCCTGCCTGCCCTCTGCTGGAACTGCTAATGAGCAATGAGAGGGCCAAAGCAGGACGTGGTGTGGGAAACATGGGAAAATAGGGGCTTGTCTGACTGAAAAGCAAGTTGAATAACTGTGATTTGTCAATTCACAACCTAGATCTTTGAAGCTCCTCCTTACTTGCCTTTGGGCAGCTAGCAAGTCTCATTACAAGACCCTTTATTGGTTCAGCTGTGCCTGGGAATGTGATTCTACCTAATGGCATGAGATGGACCAAATGACCTTGTGTGTCTTCCATTCTTCTTTGCTTGTTTCACCTCTCTGTCTTGCAGTCATCCAATAGATGGCAGATAGCTGAGCCAGATAGTGCCCCGTCCCAAACATAAACAGGCCCTCCTGTTTGCCAAGCCCTCAAAACCTTCACCACCTTCACATATAACAGGCTTTTACGAGGATCTGGCAAGACTGCCGCTTCGGTAATGCAATGCCGAAGGTAAGCTTGAAACTCTAGACTGGTTTCCTGTTTCGAAGGGCAGCAGGATGTGACCGCTGCGGAGGCAGCCCATTTGCCCTTGGAGAGAAGCAGGAGTGTCTGATCACTAGATGACCTCTCCCTCCTGCTGGCTCAGGGATGGTGTGAGTAGTCCCACTCTCCCTCCTGCCCTTGGTCAGATGGCGAGATGTTATGAAAAAAGGGAGGAAAACATGTTTTTTTGCTTTTGTTTTATTATTAAAAGAGGCACTCTCTGAAGAGGCAGAATCCATTAGCTGAATCCATTTCAGTGTCTATGGTTAATTAATTTAGGCAGCTTTAATCCACTTTTATTATGTAGCCTTTAAGAGCAATTCTGGTAAATGTCCATCCCATAAATACTAGCACTACTTTATATGTATGATACCCTTTTTTGGAAGGGTGAATCTGAATCATTATCCAGATATTAATTTGCACACAACTCTGTCTAGACAATGCAAAAATGCTTCCTCATAGTTTGAACATCGTTCAATACATTTTGAAGTGGGGAAAACGGCTCAGATATGAGACTTCACATTTTAAGTCAGTGAATAAGTCAGTCTGTTTGCTTCCCGAAACATAACTCTGAAAATCAGTCTTATCATACTATGAACTGAATAATTGATTTCCGCATTTCATTCTGTAAATTAAACACTAGACTTTGAATTACTAGAAGAAATAGCACAGTTAGCCAATAAGGCTTTCTTATAAAATGACAGCATTTTAATTTAGTGTATGCATTAGCATTTATTCATGGCTAAGATTTCATCAATCAATTTTCCATTTAAAAGAGATGTCTTTGAAAACAACAGTAGAGAAATGCTGAGTTCCAAAAGCAATGTTGTGAAAGGCAGCAGCTCTAGCATTTGGGGCACGTGTTTAACTTAATTATAGTCAATAATTATGTAGCTCCAAGCATAAACCCACGTTTTTAAAATTTATTTATTTTGAGGGGGGGCGGTGGTGGAGAGAGAGAATCCCAAGGAGGCTCTGCTCTCTCAGCACAGAGCCCAACGCAGGGCTCCCTCTCATGAACCGTGAGATCATGTCCTGAGCTGAAATCAAGAGTCAGACACTCAACCAACTGAGCCACCCAGGTGCCCCTAAACCCACATATTTTTTTGAGTTTATTTATTTATTTTGAGAGAGAGAAGGAGAGTGCAAGCAGGGGAGGGACAGAGAGGGAGGGAGAGAGAGAATCCCAAGCAGGCTCTGTTCTGGAGCACAGAGCCTGACACAGGGCTTGATCTATAAACCCCAAGGTCATGACCTGAGCCAAAACCAAGAGTCACAGGCTTAACCGACTGAGCCACCCAGGTGCCCCTAAACCCCCATTTTTTAAGCATCTACCTTATGAACTGACTTTCTTGGAATGTCAGAGTTTATAAAAGAAAATAGTTAAAGTTTAATGAGAGGTGTGTTGTATTTGTTCAAAATTATAACAATGTCTGATATTATTTTAAAATATTTATTTTGCTACTTTCTATGCTACTTTTGGTTTTTAAATTTGTTTACAGTAGTATGTCAGTAGTTGGCTTCAGATTACATGAATATTAGTACTTTTTGATAATTTTATTATTTGCTTTTTGAAAATATTTTAAACTGAAAGTGACTTCAAAATAGAAGCTTTAAGAATTCCTACCACCAGTTAAATACTAATTTTAAATCATTTATTCATTCAACCAAATTGTATTTAACACATAACAGGACTGACTTATCCATATGCAAGATAGGCATAGCACCTGGAGCCCACAGGACTTTTAGGGGCCCATGCAAATGTTTTAACTTCCTTTAAAATCAGAAGGAAAAAAAAAATTTTAGGTCAAAGGAAATGTTTAAATATATAGAACTAATCTATTCATCTTTTTTACCAATATGGTCATAAAATACAATTTTCAATATTTTTTATGGTGGAAGAAGTTCATGCAGGCTAACATTCCCAGGACCCACGGAAGTACTATTGCAACCTGTGCCAAATTCTACCTATACTAGATTCTAGAGATAAAAAGATGAGTAAGACACAATTTCTATGCCCAAAGCAGCATAGTCTAATGAAGAAAATGGGCATATAGCAGACAGTTCATAAAATGGTTTCCTTGAATTTGTTTGAAACAGTTGTTACAGCTTGAGGAACACAGGCATTTTTCTACAAAATGTCATTTAACATGTAGCCCTGGTCTTAACCTTCTTTCAGTTAACTTATACAAAAACAGGATTTGCATACTTCAATGATACATAGACACCATGACTATATGTTTCTTTTAAACACTAGTGATATTACCATCTGGATCTGTAAGCGAAAATATTCATATTTTACTAGCAACTTCATTAACAGGGCCACGAAGGAAATGCCAGGTCCTCCATATTGATGGTTCAGTGAGGAAATTAGAAATGTCTCCCTAGCATAGCAAAGCTAACTTAGCTTATATCTTTTAGAGTTTTATTGAGGCTTCAAAAATGGAGCTGAATCTTGGCTATACTTTCTGTCTTCATAAAATGTCTCATTTATATAAGATTCAGCTTTTATTTTTTCAATTACTACTTCTAATGCCATAATTGGAGTAGTCAGAATGTTCTAAGCCTAAATCTTCCTTGCTAATATTTGGGCCCACTTCCACATTTTTTTGTTGCCAATTGGAGAACGATTTTTGATCACTTTTTATTTTTAGGGCAATTTTACCTGCATTATCTTATTATACACATGCAAATGCTTTTTGAATAAGTAGGGCATCATAGGACATTGGAAAGAGCACAGACTCTGACAGACCTGGCTATGGATCAGAATTCTGTCACTCAAGCTATAGGACTTTGGTCAATTCATTTCACCTCATTGAATCTCAGCTTCCCCGTCTGTAAAATGGGGATTGTTATGCATGTGTTACAAAGTTGCATTAGGAACTAGACTAATGTATGTTAAGCATTAGGCCAGTACTTGGAATATAGTGGATGCTAGATAAGTAGCTGCTATTATTATTTTCCATGTTTTACAGATTAGGAAGCTGTAACACAGACATATTAAATGGCCTTGGCCAGCTTTGGGGGGATAAGGTTCCCAGTTATTATCGGAAAATTGCAGCCTGACTTTTGATCAAGCCTCACTGAGAATGAGGTTGTAGGACACACAGAAAAGTTCAGAAGCAAAAAGTATAGAAAAATCAGTAACACCAAAGCAAGCAAATAATCAACATGTATTTATTGAGCACCTTGTAAGCATATGGTATTCTGTGCACAAGTTGGGGTACTTTGGATTGCAAATGGCCAAATCCCAACTTGCACACACAAAAAGGAAAACTTATTGGCTGGTGTAACCCAAACACAGGTTGTAGGGAACTGATCATAGAGATGTCTGAATTCAATGTCAGGAACACTTTTAGGGCTTACACTCTCTATTTCTGACAAGAGTTTCTATTTCTGACAAGGTTATCTTTGCAGATAGCTGTCTCTATGCCATGGGGAATATGGCTTCCAATAACTTTGGTCTCTCATCTTTTCCTAGAAGCTCTTCTACCAGCAAAGAAAGAGGATTTCTTCCCATTTGGCTCCAGCCTGGAAACAATCCCAAGAATGACTTGTATTGGATCAATGGAGGTTGCATACTCCCTCCCAAACTGCACACCAAGCCAGGAAGATGGGGTAATATGATCGGTCCAATCAAGAGTCCAAACACCTTATCATTAAGGTGTTGGTTTTATTTTTTTCTCTTCATGGAAGGAAGTTTATTGGAGCAAGCAAAGATAGTAACCTTTATCTTATATGAGATGTAATAAAGAAATTAATATTTTAATGGTAGAGTTGGTTTAAAGAGCCAAAAGACTAGAATCTCAAGATGTCTAGCTAAGATACTACAGGGCCCAGGTGGACATGTCATGTGGATTTTTCAGCCAAAAAGGGAAACTTACCATATTTTTGCCTCCCAACGTATTAGCTCATAGAGTACAGACTTAAATTTATTTCTTAACATGCATGTCTTTTAATGGAGAAAGTTACAGACACTTGGGTACTATCTTAGAAAAAGCAGAACTCTTAGGGGCACGTGGGTGGCTCAGTCATTTAAGTGACTGACTCCTAATTGATTCTGGCTCCTATTGATTTTGGCTTAGGTCATGATCTCACAGTTGTGAGACTGAGCCCTGATTTGGGCTCTGCAATGAGCATGGAGCCTGCTTGGGATATTTTCTCTCTCTCTCTCTCTCTCTCTCTCTCTCTCTTTCTCTCTCTCTCCCTCTCTCTCCCCCTCTCCCTCCCTCCCTCCCTCCCTCCCCCTCTCTCAAATAAATAAATAAACTAGAAAGAAAAGAAAAGAAAAAGCACAACTCTCAAGAGGGTGGCTGGAGGCTGGACCATAGACTGACTTCCTGTCCTTTGAAAAAGTCCTGGGGGAAATGCATTATTCTAACAGCTTGCTTAATGCTTTTGCTTCCTGTGGAGAGGGGTTGGGGGTAGGAACTCAAAGCAGACTTATAAATTGAGTTCTATAGTGGAGGGACTTCTCCAAAACTCTCGGCTGGGTTTATTTAAGACACTGAATTGTTTGCTCTTGGCTCCAGTATTTCAGTGTCCACTCACTATTTCGTTCATAGGAGAACATGGTATTATATTAGAGATATGGGGAGATCATGACTTGGGGAGGAGACTGTTTTGACTTTTTATGCCAAAATCAACATTCCCCGCTCATGTCACAGGAGCCCCAGAGCCTCCTGTCATCTGGGCTCTCCATTCAAGGTTACCTTGATTACTTTCAAGGCTTTAGTCATGAATCTTTCTTAACTATTTTTACCTCAAAATAGTGTCTTTATCAACTCACTGTTGCTTTTTTCTGTGTCAAAATTAGAAGTATCCCAACTGTTTTCCAGCACCAAATTCTTTCCTCTTTCACCTCCCTGGGAAACTAACTCCATCCATTATGCCAACTTCTGTTTACATCTTCGATTACCCCTTTGCTGCACCTTTCTCCACACATCTACCTACAGGACTGTCCCCTTGAGATATCATCAAAAGAGATAATGAATGTGGGTGTACTCTATGACTGTAAAGTGTAATACAAATATGGAATAACATCATTATCCTATCTTTCTTAACAGTCATCTCAAAAAATTATCAATGTAATGTATTTCTTGACTTTACTTTCTCACTATCAACTCATTACTTAATGTCTTAAAATCTGATGTGTCGTAATGTGTT